TAAACATGGAATTAACCTCTCAGCCCATTGTTGATAAGTGGTGCTAGTTTCAGTCATTGTGCAAATGCACTGTTTACAAGGTTGGGAAAACCTGCACTCAGCTGAGACTAAAGAAGTCACTTGGACGAGTTCCCCCCATTGAAAACACAACATCCAGACTAACAGAATTAACTTTTTAGGGTTTTAGGCACTTTCTTACTACCAGTCTGTTGCATAAACACATTATTTGTGCAATTTCATTAGTTACATCTTTGAAAAATGCAAAAAATAACAGCTTGACAGGTATGAAGTAGTATTTTTGCAACATTTTTCCTAAACAGCTATTAGCTGTTCACACTTAAAATTTTATAAATTTTGTAAATGTGGGAATAAAACATGTGTTATTTTTTTGGAATTTGAATTCACGTGAATATGAGTAAAAGCTTTTTAATGATTAATCACTTCTCCTACTTCTGTTCTCCTACTTTGTAGGTGGAGTCAATGCAAATGTTTAGATGTCTTCACCTCTACTTATCTGCCTGCTGAAAATGAACAGACAGAGTTAAACAAGATGGGCTGTAGGACAGTATTGCTACTTTTGACTGTCTGCTGTGCAGGTAGAACTCAAAAACTAATTACATGTTCTCATGATATTCTAGCTTAAAAATAAATTATTTTTTATTGTCCTGTTTATTTCTGTTGACAGGTGTTGATGGTCAGACTCTGACACAATCTGAACCTGCAGTTAAAAGACCAGGAGATTCCCACACACTGACCTGTACAGGCTCTGGATTCACATTCAGCAGCTATGATATGAACTGGATCAGACAGGCTCCTGGAAAAGGACTGGAGTGGATTGCTCAAATCTGGGGCAGTGGTAGCACTACTTACTACTCTCAGTCAGTCCAAGGCCGTTTTACAATCTCCAGAGACAACAGCAGGCAGCAGCTGCATCTGCAGATGAACAGTCTGAAGACTCTGCTGTTTATTATTGTGCTCGACAACCACAGTGACTCAAGTTCTTTGAGCAGCTGTACAAAATCCAATACTATCTCCTGATTACTACAGGTTTCTTGCATTATTGTCCTTATTTTGAGTCGCTCATATGGTTCAGTTTAACTTTTTGTTTGTACTACCTGTTATATGTAAGCCGTGTGCTGGCAAGAGAGGACCCAAAGTGCAGGCTCATGGAAGTGGAAGGTAAACTCAGACTGACATTTATTGTAAAACACAACAAAAAAACAAAACAGAAAACTACAAAAACTAAACAGGCTGACAGGCAGAACACACAGCAGGATAAAACAGTAGATCACAACACAGACAAAGAAAAACACAGGGCTTAAATACACAGAGGGAGCAATCAGGGAACGAGACACAGAAGGGAAACACAGCTGGGGCAAATCAGGGCTAATGAGACAGGGGAAGCAAAACCTGATACAATAACCTGAGACATAGACTTCCAAGTAAAACAGGAAACATAACACAGAGATGAAGACTTGACAAGGTGATACAGCGGAGACAGAGCAACTAAGGAGCACAG